ATGAAAGTAAAATCTTGCTGAAGATAATTAAAAACAGATGGAGCAGTACATCCACAGGGAACTGACAAAAATTCAATCTGGAATCAGAAGAGGCCACGACAGAAGGAATATCATTATTGATGTCAAAAAGACCTTATTTGAAAGGAGAGAATAAATACCAAGAAGATGTCTACTTGTGTTTTATTGACTATGCAAAGACATTTGACTGTGTGGATCATAACAAATTATAGATAACTTTGAGAAGAATGAGAATCCCAGAACACTTAACTGTACTATGCGAAACATACATAAACCAAGAAGCAGTTGTCCAAATAGAACAAAGGGGAAACGATGAATTAAAGCCTCACGGTTTAGAAAGTTGTATGTCAGGGTTGTATCCTTTCTCCATGTCTACTCATTCTATTTCTTGAGCTAATATTTGAGAAGCTGAACTCTAGAAAGAAGAATGTGGCATCAGGATTAGAGGAAGACTCACCAACAACATTTGTTATATAGATGACATATCCTTAATTGCATGAATTGAAACAACTTCAAGCACTTGTGCTTTAAATCTTCTTCTTAATGTAGACTGCATTATTCAATATGAATTGTATCTTATCATCAAGAAAACCACTGAACCAACAGGCAAAATCAGGACAGATGGAGATAATATTGAGTATTTTCATAAACTTGGATCCACAATCAGCACTCATCATAACAGCAGTCAAAAATCAGCTGTTAAAGGCCTCTCCATAATGTTAAAGAGCAATGATGATACTTTAAAATCTAAGAAGCACCTGCTTGAAGCCATGGTATTTTCAATTACTTCCTATGCTTCTGAAAGCTAGACAATGAATAAGGATGAGAGAAGAAGAATCAATGCCTTTGAATTGTGGTATTGGATAAAAGTATTGTATTCCCATAGACTGCCAAAAAAACAAACAAGTCTGTCTTAGAGGAGTACAACTAAGGTGATTCTTAGAGTTAAGGAAGGTGAATCTCATCTACTTTGGGCATGTTGTCGGGAAGCACTAGTCCTGGGAAAAAACATCATTCTGGGAAAGGTTACTATCAGAAAAAGAGAGGAAGACCCTGAACAAGACAGACTGACAGTGATTGTAACAATAGGTTTGAGCATATTGGAGGCTGTAAATATAGTAGGACAAAGCAAGGTTCAGATCTATTGCTCACAGGACACCTATGTGTCAAATGGCATAGAACAACACAAGATAAGACACACATTAAATTGAGTGAAGTGAAAGGTAATACACAAAAAGATGTCATTAGCAAAATATAATTGAGGAATCTGAAGACACAGGTACACAAGCGTTAGAGACAAAAGAATGAAATAACTATTATCAGTAATAACAATCTATGAGTGGGTACAAAAGATGAAAAGAAACATTAAAAAAAAAAAGATGCATAGGCAAATGAAATTACACTCACTACCCTAAAGGTAAGTCTGCAGTTAGGGACCTCTCCAAAATACTCAAGAGCAACAGTGTCTCTCTGGAGACTAAGGTCTGCCTGATACAGGCCATGGTTTTTGCAATCACTTGTTATGCATCAGAGAGTTGGACAATGACTAGGGAGGATAGAAGGAGAATTGACGCCTTTGAGTTGCAGTGCTGGAGAAGAGTATTGAATGTACCATGGACTGCCAAGAAAACAAACAGATTCATCCTAGAGAGGGTTAAACCAGGCTCCTCCTTGGAGGCAGGGATTCTGGGGCTTCGTCTGACATACTTTGAACATGTTGTAAGGAGAGACAGGTCTTTAGAGAGGGACATCATACTGGGTAGAGTAGAGGGACAGCGCAGGAGGGGAAGACCCTCTATGAGGTGGATTGATTCAGTAACTGGGGTACTCGGGATGGGTGTGTCAGAGGCAATGAGATTGGCACAGGATAGAGCAGGGTTTAGGGCTGTTGTACATAGGGTCGCTATGAGTCGCAAACGACTCGACGGCACATAACAACAACAATAAACAACAACCCTAAAGGTGCCTCACTACTGTCAAGTCAGTTCTGACTCACAGCATCCCTTGTTCTGGCTTCTAAGGCTGTATGTAAATCTTAACAAAAAGAGATTCACTATCTTTCTGCCAAGTAGTCCCTGATGAATTAAAACCACTTGAGTCACATTGTCTTTTGATTAGCAGGTTAATACAATATGACTATGCCATCAGAGCTATGTTAGTAGACAGTATTTGTCTATTAAATAAATGTATGGATATATCCCATACAGACATGTAAATATAAACAAATTCATATATATATGGTAGAACAAACAAGACAAAATTATTAAAACCTCTTAGTCATAACAAACATCTTGGGAAATGAGTTCCCTGGGAGCCCAGGACCATAGCCACAGGAAAGATCAAGGTTAACTGGGTGAGAGAAAAGGTTCTATAGCCTACCTGGGGTCTCAAAATTTTGCAAGTGGCCATTTAAGATGCAAATTGGTTTCTCCCAATCCAAAACAAAGAGTGAATTAAAATCACAGACTATTAGTTCATGTGAACTTGAGTATCTACAAACATGAGACTAGAAGAAGTAGACATAGTAGACTGCTCTGAGATGACACAGTAGAAAGATCATGAAATTGGGAGGAAATTGAGAAACAAAACTTAAAGTTGCATGGGCACAATCAAAATGGACATCTAATGAATACTCAATAATGCATTAGGAGAAGGTAAGATCCGAAATGGATGGACAATTAGACAATACGTGTATTAACAATATGGAACAGGACATGCATAAATGACCAAATGGGAAGGGGAGAAAGGGATAAGGGGAGGGACCTTAAAAATCATTAAAAAATACCAGGCTTTCTGGTATTACAGAATCTGGTAAAATCTCCAAGACTATGGACATTAATCTAGCCTAGAAACCAAATCATCCTTTGTCTCAACTTCCAGATGAATAATAGGCCTATGGAGTAATTAATACTACCAAAGGAGGAACACATTTCTTAGAACCAACATGCAAGATCCAAAGGGTACTACTTGTCCAGGGATAAAGCTATACAGGCAAGACAGGTCAGGGAAAAGAGGATGGTCGAAACTACAAATCCAAGGAGGAAGATGAAAGAGTGCTATTGCAATATAAGAGACTGTTTAAATGTTACAAAACACAGTATGTATATTGGATGTAAAACCAATTTGTTCTATAAATTTTGATTCAAATCACCCAGAAATTATAAGGAATATTTTAAAGAATCTTTTGAAAGAGACTAAACTGCAAAAATATTTAATCTAGACAAAAAGGTTTAACATCCAGATTTTTCTAGATCATGTAGTAATTCTGATCCACTTCTTTAGAACAGAGACACCATCTACCCATTTTTAAAATATCTTTTGTTTCTCTCGCAGGTGCTTTCTTCCCTACATGTACTCAAAGCTAATGCTGTTGTTGTTGTTGCTGTTATGTGCCATTGCAGCACCTATGACTCATAGTGACTCTGTACAACAGCCCTAAACCCTGCTCTATCCTGTGCCAACCTTATTATCTGACACACCTAACTCCATTACTTCAGTCATTGAAATCAATGCATCTTATCGAGGGTCTTACCCTCTCGTACTGTCCTTCCACCCTCCCAAATATGACATCCCTCCTTGCAACATGTCCAAAGTATGTCAGACAAAGCTTCAGAATCCCTGCCTCCAAGGAGCAGCCTGGTCTCACCCTCTCCAGCACCACAGCTCAAAGGAATCAATTCTTTTATAATCCCTAGTCATTGTCCAGCTTTCTGATGCATAGCTAGGAAATGCAAAGACTATGGTCTGTATCAGATGCACGTTAGTCTCCAGAATGACATCTTTGCTCTTCCGTACTTTGGAGAAGTCTCCGACAGCAGATTTTCCAAATGCAATCCATCTTTTAATTTCCTGGCTACTGGTATCAAAGCTGATAGTGTTCCTCATACTTTTTTCCCAGAACTTCTCTTCTTCTTACTCTACATGATCTTGCTACAAGAGTTATCTATTACAAAACTTGTATTTCGAAGCCAGACATCACCCTGCTGCTGACTCATATGTATAAATGCAGTCTAGATGCCTTCATCTGGATCTTTCATACACATCTCAAGTAATTAAAAGGTCTGAAACTGAATCCATAATGTTTATTTCAAAACATCCTTCTAGTATTTGACTCTGTAAGTTAATGGCATCAATAACTCCTCAAATCAGAAAAATAAGATAATCCTTAAATCTTGGCTAATATTCTAGACATCTTTAAGAAGTAGTTTTTATTTTGGGTGGGGAATGTTTTTTATTGGTTTGCATATAATTTGTATACATTGTGCTTTATACCATCTTTCCTTTACATTTTTTTAAATTTTATTTTTTTCTTTACATTTTGTTTCAATCATTCATAAACATTTTATTTTTATAAAATTACTCTTGATTTATGCCACTATTACTCCATTTTTCAAGTCCCCATAGAACCTTTCCTATTCTTTCACCCTTCTCATCTATGTTAGTAATTTTGACCCTTCTCCTTTTAAAAGCTAAGAAAAGAGATATTACCACTAATAATCAGTAAACCTGTACTGAGTCTTAAAAATGGAAAATATAAATAGTAATAATGAGGGGTTTTTCTATGATATTTATATAGTTTAAGTCGACTTGATAACACATTTACTAATACACTAAGAACCTACTAAATTCCAGGAAGAATAAATACTGGAAGTTTTTAAAAAAAATAATGACTTTCCTATAGCCAGCTTATGAGTTGGTTCTGACACTACAATACACAATAACAAAATTAGGTTTATAAGTTCAAAAGTACATATTTGCAGAAACTAGCATAAATAAAGGGTGAGAAAGAATAAACAAATTACCATCCTACAGTAATGTATTTACATATTATAAAATTTTGCCTCATTTCCATTTTCTGAAATTGTATTCCTTTTTTCTCTAATTGTTCAAATACTAACTTTTTAAATATTCTGAAGTCTCTAACTTGTAAAAATTTCCAATGAACTGTAAATCAAGAAAAATCAATTTAACACACAGGGTACCTGACAGAGGAGGTTCTGGGCCCGTGATCTCTGGAATCCATTACCCAACCAACATGACACTCTAGTGGGGGATTTGTACTATGCCGTGTTTTTCTTTTTCTTGGACTCTGAAAAAAAAGGAGTCAAACATTGCAAATACTTTCAGTAATGTAGTTACTTTCAGCAGTGTGAACTTCACAAGTAAATTAAAACCCTCTGACTGCAAACTAACCCAAACATCTTCATACTGTGGATAACATATTGTGAAATCACATGAAGTCACAAAACTCAAACATTTTACATGCAAGTTTAAAAATTTAACAAAAAAGGCACTTTACTAGGTTTGTAATACAAATTTAAAGAAAATACAATATGATCCTTCATTACACTTTTTGTTCATTTTTAATTATACTACCAACTTTTTCTTACCTTGAGAAAACATAGGGTAAAATTCACTTTTTAAATAAATTTTCACATTCTAAAATATAATACATTTTTTAAAGTGATAGAAACAAAACTTTTTTTTTTCATTTTAAAGTATACAAGATGCAAGTTTTCTAATACTGGCTGTTTCCCATACCTTTATATCAATGGCTTTTGGTTCTTTAACAACAGGATAAAATCTCGGTGTTTTGTTAGGATCTTGCAATCTGGGTGTTCGAGGTGTTTTGGGTGTCCTTACAGGATGAACTCTAGGTGATTCTGGAACTGCTGCAGGCAATGAATGAGCCATTATTATTGAGGGCACCTCTGTAACCTCCAGCAACTTCCGAGCTAATTCTTCAGTTAAATCTGCAAAATAAAAAGTTAAAAGATTGTTTTATTTTTTTTTCTTTTTCTCACATATCTCTCTTCCTTTTTAATCTGTCTTTTTCTTTTCTTTCTTTTTTTTTTTGTGATGAGGTCACTCAGTCTTTTCATGGTCTTCCAAAGAGATATTGACAGTATAAATAGTTAACTTCCTACTAAGACTCGGCAGTTAGTGTACTGTTTCCTTAATTCTCCTAGCACATATATTGTTGTATTGTATGTACTGTATCAATCCATCTCATCCAGGATCTTCCTCTTCTGTGCTGTCCATCCACCCTTCTGAGCATGATATCCTTCTCCAAGGACCAATCACTCCTGACCACATGCCCAGAGTAAGTGAGGTAGAGCTTCAAAACCTTAGCCTCCAAGGAGAGACTTGGTTTAACCTTCTTCAAGGCAGATTGATTTGTGTGTTGGAATTAGAGATATTGGCTCAGGACAGGGAAGAGTTCAGAGCGGCTGTACATAGAGTCACTATACATCACAGGCGACTCAATGGCACATAACAATAACATCCGATGCCAGGTTTGGAAGCAGAAGTGGCATCCACTTTCTAATCAACATGCCTCCGGAAATTGTATGAACTTTGATAAATGATGATAGCTATAAAAAGGCTTCAGATCTTTTGTTCACAGGGTCACTATGAGTCGTGCTTAATTCAAAGGCAATCAACAACAACAGCAATTGTATGTGTACTATGGAGTCAATTCTCACTTAAAACTAGACAGTAGGACAGAGCTAAACATCCCCTTAGGTTTCCAAGCTTGTAATCTTTGCAAGGGCAGATTACCAAGTCTTCCCCCCATAGAAAATTAATGGTGAATTTGAACTTCCAAACTTTTATTCAGTAGCTGAGCACTTTGTCATTGGCCACAAGGGTTCCCTCCTGGAATACCAATTCTTTATAAAATAGTATTCCTATTTAGCTTAGCTTTCAAAGGGATTCTTCTGGGAAAAGATAAGTATATAATTTTTTGTTTGCCCTCCACTGTCTTGTGTGGCCTGGCACTAATTTCTCATCTGCTTATACACTTAGTGCCAAAAGATTGCTTTAGATGCTAGCAAACATTCGACTTTGAAAACAAGGATAACACTAAACTTCACTTAACTGAATCTCTCATTGGAAACTTATCAAATATATAAGAAAAAAATAGGGTTTAATAAACACTTGTTTATCACCTATACTTGGACTAAGAGGCAGTTGTCAGAACAGATCAAGGGAACATTGCATGGTTCAAAATTGGGAAGGGTGTACGCCAGGGATGTGTCCTATCCCCATACCTTTTCAACCTGTATGCAGAACAGATTATCTTGAAGGCTGGGCTCTATGAGGAGAAATGTGGCATCAGGATTCGTGGAAAATGTATCAACAATCTGTTTTATGCAGATGACACAACCCTGCTTGCTGAAACTGAGGAGGACCTGAAGCTCTTGCTACAGAGGGTCAAGGACTGCAGCCCCCAATATGGATTGAGGCTCAATGTCAAAAAGACAAAGAGTTTCACCACTAGACCAATTGGCAGCATCAGTATGTATGGTGAAGAGATTTGAGATTGTTCACAGCTTCAGTTTGCTCGGCTCCACAGTCAACACTCTTGGCACCAGTAGTCAGGAAATTAAAAGACGTATTTCCATGGAAAAGTCTTTTGTTAGGGACCTCTCCAAAGTACTGAAGAGCAATGGTGTCTCTCTGGAGACTAAGGTCCGTTTGATATAGGCCATGGTCTTTGCTATCACTTGTTATGCGTCAGAGAGTTGGACAGTGACTAAGGAGGATAGAAGGAGAGTTGATGCCTTTGAGCTGTGGTGCTGGAGAACAGTATTGAGGGTACCATGGACTGCTAGAAAAACAGATTCATCCTGGAAAGGGTCAAACTGGGCAGCTCCTTGGAGGCAAGGATTCTGAGGCTCCATCTAATATACTTTGGACATGTTGTAAGGAGGGACCGGTCCTTGTAGAGGGACATCATGCTTGGGAGGGTGGAAGGACAGCGCAGGAGGGGAAGGCCCTCTATGAGGTGGATTGATTCAGTGACTGAGGTAATCGGGATGTGCGTATCAGAGACGGTGTGATTGGCACAGGACAGAGCAGAGTTTAGGGCTGTTGTACATAGGGTCGCTATGAGTAGCAAGCAACTCAACAGCACATAACAACAACAATTTTCATAAATTTTGATCTTGCTAATTTGATATTTTTTGATCTTTAAATTTTTAATGTTTGTCTTAGACATTTTATACTTTTTAAAAGAAAGATCAGTTGAACCTTATGATTAACCTTCTCTAAATCCCATCACTTTAAAACTGTATATAAGTTATACCATACCATATACAATTTTGCATATTTTTTCCTATTTTGTAAATGACTGTTATTCATGTTCTATTCACACAAGTCAAGTTTGGCCAGTTTCAATTTCACTGCTGCATAATAGCCTGTTATGAAATTTAATAATGTATCCATTTTTTTTACCAAAATAATAAATTAATATTCAAATGGTGGCTATAATCAACAATGCTGCAACAAGTATTGATCTCTCTTCATACAGGTGTGAATGTTTCTCTAGGTTTTTATCTATGAACTGCAAACTCGGAATCAAAGGACACATGCCATCTTCTGACTCAAAAAATAAGTACTAATCAAACATACCTGTAGTAATTTTGCCAATTTATACACCTACCAGAAGCAAAAGAGAGCTATAGTCAGGATCAGAGTTAACAAGTATTTATATAAAGTTGGCGATATTTTCATATTAGTCATCACTTGGATCTCCTCTTTTGTGACACTGTCATTCATAATCTTTGATTATGTCTCTTTGGGTTTTTATTATTGATTTGTTCATAGAAAAATCTTATGGTAAGATACTGAGTAAGGCATTAGAGGACTCAAATTATTTTCCTGTTATTTATCATTCTGTCGGAACTGATTCATGGCTGACCCTCCAGTGGGTTTTCAGAGAAGAAAATCACATGGGAGCCTGCTTTCTCCCATGGACAGCTGGCTGATTTGAACTGTGTGCCTTTGTGCTGGCAACACAGCTCCTTACAAGTAGGCCACCAGAGCTCCCTAAGGAATCAAGTTGCTCTTGTTGTTTTTGTTTAGTACCACCAATTTGGAAGTGACTCACAGCTGACCCTTCAGGGGGGTTTCAGAGACAGTCAATCACACAGGAGAATATTGCCCACCTTAGCCTCAAATTACTAAAAATAGTAACTTAACTAAAAACGTATTGTGATAGGAAAGTCTGCTGTTAGGGACCTCTCCAGGGTACTGAAGAACAATGGTGTCACTCTGGAGACTCAGGTGCACGTGATACAGGCTAGGGTCTTTGCAATCACTTGTTATGCGTCAAAGAGTTGGACAATGACTAAGGAGGATAGAAGGAGAATTGATGCCTTTGAGCTGTGGTGCTGGAGAAGAGTATTGAATGTACCATAGACTGCCAAGAAAACAAAGAGATTCATCCTCGAGAGGGTTAAACCAAGCTGCTCCTTGGAGGCAAGGATTCTGAGGCTTCGTCTGACATGCTTTGGACATGTTGTAAGGAGGGACGGGTCCTTGGAGAGGGACATCATGCTTGGGAGGTTGGAGGGATGCCGCAGAAGGGGAAGACCCTCTACAAGATGGATTAATTCAGTGACTGGGGTAATCGGGATGGGTATGTCAGAGGCAGTGAGACTAGCACAGGATATAGCAGGGTTTAGGGCTGTTGTACACAGGGTCACTATGAGTTGCAAGCCCCTCGAACAGTACATAACAACAACAACAACAAGAGATAAATAAGGCCTATGAGTTCATATTAGAGGGGGCACATTAAAAATTCAATCACCTTGGGAAGTTTCTAAGACATTAATGTATTATCCAGAAAGCTGATGTTTTCTGAAGAAAAGTTCATTTATTTTATTTATTATTTTGTGTGCGCGTGTACCATCAAATCAGATCTGACTGGTACAGGAGGAGATAGTTCCTCATTCTCCAGCAAGGATCTGGTGAATTGAACCACATATCATTACAAAGGCTAAAGAAGAAGAAAAGACCAGGATGGATGTCAGATGAGACTCTGAGTATTGCATTAGAGCACCAAGAAGCCAAAGCTAAAGGAAGAATTCAAGAAATCAAAAGGTGAATAGAAAATTTCAAAAGGCAGCTCAGGACAACAAAGCAAGGTACTATAATGAAATGTGCAGAGAGCTGGAATCAGAGAACCAAAAGGGCCGGACTCGCTCACCGTTTCTTAAGCTGAAGGAGTTGAAAAACAAATTCAAGCCATGGGTGGCAATACTTAAAGATAGTTTGGTTAGAATGTTGAATGATCCAGGATGGACGGAGTACACAGAGTCACTGTATCCGAAGAAATTGGCTGACACAGAGGAATTTCATGAAATAACATATGAGCAAGAACCTATGGTGATGAAGGAGGAAGTTCAAGTTGC